TTTCTATAATTCAAGTCTACTTTACAATTACCACCCAGGTAGCATTTGAAGTAATCCTATTGTCAAATAAATATAAATTTTAATTTAAATCAAAATCAATTACATACTCAATACCTACTTGTGATTTAAGAGCATATTTCCTAAAAAATGATTTACAAGCTTCGCAACTTAGTACATTAAAATGATATCCTAAATAACATAATAATTAGACATATATCCACAATGTAACCGATAACTTACCATTGGATTTATCACCACAAACCACACAAATTTTATTTTCAACGTTTTGCGAAGTGTCAGCTGAATTTTGATCAATATTATCCATGTGATAAACTAATTTTTATATTAATTACTAATAATAATTATTTTCTTTAAGTTCTATTTTGTTTTAAAACCAAATAAATAACAATACTGTACAAGTTACTTATCAAGATTGTATACACATTGCTTTAATTAAATGAAAACAATGTAGAATTACAACTAATATTTCTAACTTAGCAACTGATACTGATATTATATCAGTGATATACATGGTGTGTAGTTATGTAAGTTTATAATGCAAACAGAATTGTCTTAACGTAATAATTGGTATGCTATTGTATTGTACAATGCTTTCCAATAATAGCTCTATAAGTTAGTATATTGTATACTGTACTAAATAGGGTGCTTAAAGTGCATAAGATACATTGGATACGTGCAGTTGTACTACGATGTATATAATAGTGGCCAAGTTGATTTTGTCACTATAATCATTGATGTAAGTATTGTACATTTAATTAAAAATGTTCATTTATTGGACAGTAAACTTCTATTTTTATAAATAAAAGTACATACATATTGTAGTTATAAATTGTAAGTCCAGAGTTAGAAATATCAAAATAAATATTGTATTCAAAATTATATTTCAAATTAATTTGATGAACTATAAATAACCCCGGTTACATATCTCTCTCATCAGAGGGAATCTCGCGTCGATGTTTTCTTCCATACAATTGAGTGCTATTTTGTCATTCAAGACATTCAAGTCCTTCAAAGTGGCTAAAAGTCTGAAGAATTTCTCTTTTGATATAATTTCCGATCGATATTTCAATAGCAGATAGCGTTGCAGTAAATACATGTAAATATGTTGTTGAAACCTATTAACATTAATAATTAACACACGATTAGTATTTAATTTACACCATAGAGCTCATTATATATTACATTTATATAACATTGGTCATTTTATTTGTCAATAACACTTATTTACCCTGAATCGGGAATGTTTATTACATAGCAAATTAAATTTTTACATGTAATACATTAAACAATTAATTTGTATCAAACCCTTTATATAAAATTAAATTAAAGTTAAATTACATAAATTACTCACTTAATGATATCTCTATGCATTAGATTAGGTCTCTCAGGATTAAACAGTATGATTGCCGTCAGCTTAGGATTAGTAACGTTTATTAATACATGTAATTATTTAAATAATAATCATATGCTATACCAAATCAATGATAGTATTATCAGAATCCCATTCTTTGCCCATATTTTGCAGGAAATTCTTATGGTTTATATAAGTGTTACGTCGCTTACCCTTAAATAAATCCAAAGGTATTAGATTTGCTTCCTTATTATCCTAAACACGAGATAATTAAATTCATTAATAAACAAAAAGTAATAATCATCACAATTATTATATACTCAACTGATATAACAGTCCAGTACTGGGTATCAAAATCAAAATATGCAATCATTCTCATGATTGCAATCTCGAGGGACGCGTATTTGAGCAAGTTTAACTGATCGGACTCACACATAGTGGCAAATGTGGTCAAACACTTTGACATTTTGACCAATTTTCTAGTTTCCTGATCGCAATTACATTGAAATATGTTCTTTGCATCAAAAAAGTTATCCACAATAGTTTGGCTCAACTGAAGGGACGGGTACTTCAAATGCTGGACGGCATACTGTAGTTCCGTTAACCTTCTACCCTCTACTTCGTTAAAGTTATCGCTGTAATCGGTGATAATTACGGGAACCATTGATGTCTGTGCCTCTGAGGCCGTAAACGAGGTGTCGTTATTGGCCGCAGATATACGGCCCTGGATTTCGTCCATATCTTTATGCATGTCTTCGGTGTCGGAGTAATCCGTTGCCGTGAATTCAATGGAAACATCTTCACTTGAATTGTCTTTTGAATTACCATCAGATGACAGGCCAGTGGTGGTCGAGTCGACCGCATCATTATTCACGGATTGAGTAGTTTTGTCGCCTTTTTCTCGGTTCATTTTCCTGTGGTCTCTCGAGTGTATATATTCCTAAATATAGTCATAATTTATATACTATTTGTGATTAAATTCTGTATTTCTATAAGTCTTACGGATTTCATTCCGACTTCAAAACACTTGTCGAGTCGACACCTCTTACAGAAAGTCCGGTTCAGTACATCTATTTTACAACTGCCTCCCAAATAGCATCGCAAAGGTTTCTGAGAGATCATTAATTTGCTTATTATTTGGTTATCAATTTGATTATTCATTTGTATTGTTTTATGAAATGCTATTTATTATCCAATTCTTGCCTTTGTTTTGAGTGCAGTTCTCCGGAAGAATGATTTACACGATTCACAGGTGATGGCATCAAAATGAAAGCCTGTTATCCCAGGTCAGATATTAATGTCAAACAATTATAATTATGTGTACAATCATTTTAACCTAATCACAGGCACATTTTCAATTTTAATTTACCACTTACCATTAGCCTTATCACCGCATATTAGACATACTTTTGATGATTGTTTATTATTGATTGACATATTTATTAATAGTAATTATCAATATTGTAATATAGTTTGAAAAATTAATACTGTACAATTAATATTTAATTTTATATAAGTAAAGTAATTCTATTTATGGAATATTCTTGTATTATTATTACATAAAATTATAATTAGCCAGTGATTGACAAAAAATCTAGAGTACAATTTGATGTCATTAATAAACAAATAATTAAAAATATTAACTAAATGGTGAAAACAAATAACACTCGCAATAAAAATTGACTACTTATGGACACAATCTTATAAATCAATTGAATCGACAAAATGAATGCATTGTTATGTGAATGCAAACACATATACCACTAGTTAGTAGTGCTCCGCCTATTAGTTACGGTAAGATATCAATCAGAAAATTGTAAAATTTACTTCATTTTGTACCTTTGGTTAACTGTAACAGTTGTCAATATACTGTACTATACAATTAACTGTAATATACTCAAGGTCTTTTCAGTGTATGATACTCGAAATTATTTATGAGCCCAAGTGCATCGAAACCGAGTGCTATAATATAGCATATTATGTATTTCCATTAAGTATTATTGATTTCGTTACTAGTATTGTACGTCAGATACGCTAAATATTTATACTGGTTAATTTTGTATTATTATTTGTTAATAAATATTATTTATAGAAATCTTATGTACATTTACTAATTAAAATTCTTCGATAATTAATTGCTCAATATAATTACATTCAATAAATGATAACAAAATTAAAATAAAACTTATGTAACCCCATACATACACTCTTTCAAATTTAGTGAATTCTTTGTGGTCAACACTTGGAGTATTTGTTACACAATTTAGGAGTTTAATTCATTTTGGTTGAGACTCGCATTCCGATCGATATCTCAATAGTAAATACCGTTTTAGTAAATATATGTAAACCTGTTGATGCAATCTATAAATAAACAGATTAGTTATTAAATATTTAACACTAAATATTAAAACTATAAATATTAAATTAATATTGTTAATATAAATATCATATTTACTTCATGTTAAATGATCTGGATTATAACAAATATACTTTATAGTGCATACAAACCATAAATAAAATAGTTAACACGAACAATAATTCTCAAGTTATTATTTATTCAAAGAATCAATTTTATAGCAATTAATACAAAAGTATAAAAAAAGTTAATTAAAAATTGATTGCATATAAAAATCTGGTTTTAAGGCTTACATCGGGACACAAATCTCGGGTAAAGACTGGCGTCTCGGATGTGGTATCGGTTGAGGATATATGTAATGAACCGCTCGAGACCTAAGCCATAGCCCCCATGAGGACAGGACCCATACAGGCGCTGATCCGTATACCAGTAATAGTCCTTCGGATCCATACCTTTGCGGTCAAAGTTGTCCATCAACTCCTTGTGCTCCCAGGCCCTCATCGACCCGCCCACGATCTCGCCCACTCCCGGCACCAGTACATCGAACTTACAATCAAATCGCAAATAAATTAATTTTCAAATCATAATCAAAATTAGGCTTTAGTTTACAGATTCAGTGAGTAATGGGTTGTCATCACAAC